CGGAGCAGTGCGATGGATAATAGACTAAAAAGAGTAGATGGAAGGAATGCAAATGAGTACAAACACACACACACACACACACACACACACACACACACACACACACACAGACCTCTAACGAACTTCTAATTCCTGAAACATTCATAGTAGAGACAAAATTTATTGAAAAATGAGTGTCTGCCTCCTTTATGTTATTCTTTGATTCTACATTGTCACAACACTGTATCCATCTATCTATCCAGCTATCTTGTTTATTTGTAAATTTAAAGACAGCCTCTCTTTTGCTTTTAGAGACACAGTGGAGGGTTAAAACAAGTTGACCCATGGGCTGATGGCGCCTACTAGTGCTGAAAAAGTGCAGCTGCACCTTGGTGAGGCCGATTTACTCCAACACTCCTGCAATACCCTTCACAGTATAACTTGCAGGTTCAGACTGTCGATACTGTGTGAAAGGAACAAACAGAAAGAAATTGGATATAACGTGTTGCTTGTTGGATGGGGTCCTAGGCAACACCACGTGAAGTCAAATAAACCAGGGGAATCTGCAGAAAACATATTAAGCAGCAAAGAAGGGGGTGGGGTGATGGGAGAACATGTGAGGGTGTTGGCTTTTCCTGCAGGAGTTAAGACTGTCTTCCTGTTTGTTTTTTATTATTTTTCAAATGGAGGATAACAGATGATGGCTTTATATCCACTGAAGTATGCACAGATCTATCTGCCTGCAGCTTGCATATAAATGCATGCAAATGCACTAAAATACACAGTCATAGCACAACTGCACAGAAAGAACCTCAGCCATGGCACATTGGTTCAAATGATTTTTTTTCTGGCTGGACTGCATATTTTATACAAAGATGCTACATCTATAGCAGCACACTACATCAACCTCCAGGAAAGTGTCACAGAAAACATGAAGCAGAGTGATAAACACTATGATTTACACCCACTCACGATCACAGACGGGTGGGGGGTGCTTTTGTCACCTCAGATGTTTCAAAAAACTTATGACTGTCAACAGTTTTATTTACTTACTTATAAAAGGTCAGAGGAGTCACCCTTTACTAAATCACCCAGCAAAGCGGGTACTCTCCTTATGACGGGTGCAAACACCCAAAAATAAAAACCAGCTCACTGTCATTAGAGGCTGCAAAGCCCTAACCATCTTGATCCATTACTTGCTCCAAATAATGACTGCCTCTGTAATTTCCAGCACATGCAGCTGAACTAGTGACTCATCGTTCAGCTGGTTTAAGCATGACGTCCTGAAAAGTGGTGATAAATCTACTTGAGCATCTTCGTCCTCGTTGGAGCTTCAAAGTCTCATAAATCCCCAAACAGGTGTTTGTAAGGGTGTGTTGATGACAGAGAGCTTCTGCAGCTGCTGGGAGGAGATTCCTGATTATTTCTTCAAATGTGTTATAGTTTAGACAAAGTTTTTTCTTCAACCAGTTTAGTACTTTCCATAAAAACCTAAAGTAACATGGATTGCAGGTTCCAGTTGTATTTACTTTAATTAATGTTTTATTGTTACATAAAAATAAAATCCAAAATTATTTTGTAGTCGTTACATTGACCAACACATGCTTTAAAGGAGTTTTAAATGATTGTTTCAGGTATTGGGTTTTAAAGGGTCAAGCTTCTGTGTGAATGATCAGACTATGGCATACATGCAAACAGATCATGCACACATGCATGCTAAAGCTGCAATAGCTAATTTACAGAACAAGCTAGCTTCTAGCTGCTACCTGGAGTTTTCCTTTTTCAGGAATTATGTATGATTTTTCAGAAATCCAAAAAAGTGGATGTCTTTTCATGTACTGTGATATAATGTATGCAATACATCTATTTTTTTTTTTTTTTTTTTTTTGGCTTGCTAAGCCCACTCCCATCCCTGTTGGGGATCTGCAGTGATGCGGACACTGAACTGGTCTGTTTTGAAAAAGGAGCTGAGCCAGAAGGCAAGGCTCACGATTTACCACTCGATCTATGTCTCAACCCGCACCTTTGATGAGCTTCGGGCAGTGACCGAAAGAACAAGATCGCAGATAAAAGTGGCCAAAATAACTTTCCTCCAGAGGGTGGCCGGGCTCAGCCATAGTGATAGATTGAAGAGCTCGGACATTCGGGAAGGACTTGGAATAGAGCCGCTGCTGCCTCGCATCGAGAGGAGCCAACTGAGGTGGTTCAGGCATCTTATCAAGATGCCACCTGGATGCCTTCCTGGGGTGGCGTTTTGGGCACGTCCTGCCGACAGGAGGCCCCTGGGTCAACCCAGGACACCATGGAGCAAGTATATCTCCAATCTGGCCCAGGAACACCTTGGAGTCCTGTTGGAGGAGCTATTGGAGGTGGCCAAGGGGAGGGCTGTCTGGGATGTCCTACTTGAGATGCTACCCTTGTGACCCAGACGTGGATAAGCGGAGGAAAATGAACGAGCCCCTCTGAATAGTTGGTTAGTGCTGACTGAGTGCCAGTCAGCACTAACCAATAGCATTAGACTACCGCTTATGTACAGACGTCAATCACAGTGTGTGCTGAGCACTGTGCTGAGCAATCGAGGATGTACCTCGGTTGATGCAGAATCTGAATCTTTCTCGTGGACAACTGATCTTTAAAATCTAAATATATGAAAACACAACATAACATGAGCGTAATAATTGTGAAACGATGTGTTTTAGCTCTGTTTTGTCAGCTAGAGGAGCATGCTCACGAACGAGAGGTGCTGCTTTTGGCTGTAAATATGGAAATGAAAACTAAGTCATGGTGTGATACGCTTGTCAGCTACTAGATGGTGCCATCAGATAAAAAAAAAAGAATTGAATAACTACTTTAAACAGAAACAAAGCCACGAAACACTCACCCCTCCCTAAGCTATCATCCCTGGTCTGCGTCCACTATAACTGGAAACCTGCATTGCCAGAGGAAATGAAAGATCCCTAAACACCAGTCATATTTATATCTAGGTCCAAAGGTCTTTTGTTGTCTGTGACTTTTTTTGGGACTCTGGTAGTTTGTCTTAAAGTTGAAGTGGTATTAGCTATTTCTTTGACATTATTGAGCGGAGAACATCTCACACCATGGTGCTCAGTAGCTAAATACCTGAGTCCGTAATGAACGGAGGACCCATGCAGACGTGCATTATCTCCACAATACATAGCTACTCTGTTAGAATATTGTTAAGCTAGCTTGTTTTCAAAATTTGCTACTGTATCTTTAAATAAATTGGGATGAAGTGCATCCACAAGAAGCAAAACAGTAAAAAACAAGAAAATACACCTGAAACAGAAAACATTGTGTAAATACTCTCAAACATAGTAGTTTCCAAATTTAGGTCAGGACTGCAGAGAGATGTGAGAGTGGCAGACAAATCAAATCTGTTCCCCTGAGGCTGCACAGTGGACGTCATGTGAGCCGAATAAACATGCACACAGTTATAGCTTTAAAAAAACACCTCACTGAGAAATTAATCACTACTCTGCTGCTTGCCATGTTTAAACCTCAATTTAACATCAAAGCCTTAAAATCAATGTTGTGGAACACGGATTACTTTTTGTCCCCATGAGGAAGATGCCTCCCAAATGCATGACAGGGTAAACAGATTGAGGTCAAACTGTTTGAGACTTAATGAAGCGGTGTGTAATCAAGCCATCTCTCTCTCTCTCACTTGCCCTCATGCCAGCTCATTTAAATGCAGAAAAGTGTACCTTTCTCAATCCACACCTCTTAAAGTACACAGATAAACCTATTACTGTTTTCTATATACTCTGGCGTTCATTCCCACTCATTTGAGTTGCTTCTGCAGCATTGTGGTACTTGATTTCTGCCTAATCTTGTCAACTGATCATGTCTCAGCTCTAATCAGTGGCACAAGCCCGGGTTGCTGCAAAAAATCTAACAATTTCAATCAAGAGGATGACAAAATATCAGAATGGAACAACTATTCCAGGCAGCTCTGTCCTTGTTGTGTGAAGCAGTAGTTCACTAGACTGGTGCATTTTTTGTAAGATGTTAATAAATATTTGCTCCCACAACAGTTGGGGTTATGTAAAGAGAAAAAAATGATTTAACCATTACCAAATCATGCAAGCATCTTTGATTCAAGTATCAACAGTTCCAAACGTTTCTCTTAATATGTTTATTGTCGAAACAGTTATTATATAAAGAATGTGTTTGTTTATTTATTTGTTTATTTATATGTGATTGATTTGATCTAATTTAAAGACAATATGCATATGTTGAATTAAATGTGATTAAATGCATTTGTATTCATTAGCTTAGCTAAGTGAGGCCCATTTATTTATACATACGGTGATTGGTTTAATTTAGCTGCAGTTGTGTTTATAATCTAATTGAAATGAAACAATTGAAGCTTAACTTACCTTGGTTTATATTAAAAGTTCCAGCAAAACTGACAAAAGCTGTTTTAAAGATCTGAACTGTGGCGACAGCTCGTGATTAAAACAGACTTAACAAACTCGTAAAAAGTTAAATCGTTAGAAACGAGGAAAAAAAAGGTTCCCTTTCATTTTGTAGTTCAACGTGATGTGTGGGGGAAAAAACTACATCGCCCAGAAGTTGAGTAACTTCCCCTGGTCATTTCCGCAATCAAGCGCGTGACTGTCATGCTGCATTCAGAAACCTGGAAATTCTACACTGAACGTCTATGAAATCAAAATAAAACATCACATAACGTTTTTTTTTTTTTTTATCTGCAACTTCATTATTTTTCCTAACAATGACCTTATTATTTTTGATCAACAGTATAAAAACATGACATTCTAGTACTACATTTAGTCTGGTTTATATATAATCCACATTTTCCTTGATTTAAAAAGTGATTTGAGTGCATTTGTTATTTATTTTATTTTTTGTCAAACATGAAAATTTCGTTTCACTTTTCAGAAAATATGGAGGCAACTGGAGCGTTTACACTCAGCGCAGTTGTTGAAAATTGTGATTTCAAGATTTAAACTCCCTTTTCCGAGGTACAGCAAATGCAGCATTGCTAAAGCTTTGTTATTGTAAAAAGACAGCAAATCACGTTATTACACAAGAAGAGCCGTGATGGACTGCAGACTTATCACCTGTTTACTTTTGTGCACATTTAGCTCTTGTTTAAGCTCAAAGCCGAATTTTGTCATTTTCTTTGCTGATGATTTGGGGTTCGGAGACTTGAGCTGTTACGGACATCCCACTTCGCTCACTCCTAACCTGGACCTCCTGGCAGCCAAAGGACTCCGCTTTACAGACTTTTACAGCACCAGTCCCGTCTGCAGTCCGTCCAGGTATCTCTATGACCTAGATATAATTACCTGTGACATGCCTTCGCATTTTAAACACTATAAACGTTTACTCCTTTAGTCTGAATCGAACAACAATCGGTCGATGCGCCTTCCTCTCCACTCACCCATCTGCATTGTTTGTGTGTTTGATGTTAGGGCGTCGCTGCTGACAGGTCGTTACCAGACGCGCTCAGGTGTCTACCCAGGTGTGTTTTATCCAGGATCCATCGGGGGCCTTCCTCTGAATGAGACCACCATTGCTGAGGTGTTGAAACCTTTGGGTTATGCCACCGCTGCTGTGGGTAAATGGCATTTAGGAATAGGCTCCAACGGGATGTTTCTTCCAACCAAACAGGGTTTTGATGAGTACCTGGGGGTCCCATACTCCCACGATCAGGTGAGTAGGATGATCTGGTGCTGTGAAAACGTTTTTGACCCCTTAGATTTTGTTTCTCTTTTGCATTTTGTAATTTCCTTCTTGTTAAATCATGACTTATCTGTTGAAAATCAAATTATTTCCAAAGCTGAGTTCATTTCCACAAACCACACATGCCTAACTACTGCCAAACTTGTCTGACGACATGAAAAGACTAATAAAGACCATATATGGTCTGAAAGCAGGAAACGTGGCAGGAAGAACAAGTTATTATACAGTGATTATTTTTTTAGAAGGAAAGTTCTATATCAGTATATTTGTTTTCTTTTACAGGGGCCCTGCCACAACTTGACTTGTTTCCCCCCAGATGTAAAGTGTTATGGAGTATGTGACGTTGGGGTTGTAACCGTCCCACTGATTCACAACGACAACATCAAGCAGCAACCAGTAAACTTCCTCGAGCTGGAAAAGGCGTATAGTGACTTTGCAACCAGATTTATAACCACGTCAGCAAAGAATAAACAACCATTTTTCCTTTACTATCCAGCACATGTAAGGAGCAATGGATTGGTGTTAAAAACTGTGCAAAAGTCAAGGAATATGTGGTCATATGGAAATATGAGATTGAGCTTTTTCTCCCTCTGTACAGCATACCCACTACCCACAGTATGCAGGCTCAGATGCAGCCGGTCGCTCGTTGAGAGGTCCATTTGGAGATGCCCTCTTGGAATTGGACAACACAGTAGGAAATGTGATGGCAACCCTGCAGAAGACGGGAGTGATCAACAACACACTTGTGCTCTTCACATCTGACAACGGGTTCGTTGACTGAGAAATAGTTTAATAAAAGACTAGAAATCATAAAAGTTTGAAGATTATGTTACGTCCCCGACATGAGATGGTAAAATGTGAAGGATGGGGATAACATAAGAACTGGCGGAGGAGTTTAAAATGGGTTTATTTGTACAAAAAGGTATTTAAAACACAAGCAAACAGATGGCGAGCATTATTAAAATAATGCTGAACAAAAATACTCAAAAAGGTTAACATTAAAAGAGCAGTTACCAACATTAAAAACACCTGGTTAAAACTTATGTTTCAAGTTTTACCGGAACAGAAGGTGTTTCAAAAACGAAGTCAATAAAATTGCAACAAAACAAAGTTAACCTTAAAAACCAACGAACACAGTCAACACTAGGTGACATGCACAAAAGATCCATGTGGAGCACTCAAGAGTTAAAACTACCAAAGTTAAAACTCTTCAACTCAAAGGGGTTGAAAACAAAATGAGGCCTGGAGAACAGCAGAACCCCTGCACTGCTGCCTCCCAGACGGCTGAAGGCACAGCCTCTTTATCCTAGGTGTGGCTCATCAGGAGGATTCAGCTCAGCTGTGCTCCTCAGCAGCCTGGAAGAGAGGAGGAGGAGGGGCAGTGTGCGGCTGATCACTAGACCTGGGTGATCCTGGCTCCTGCTTTTCACTCCCCAGGCTGGCAGCCATGACAACAACATTAACGGATAAGACGAACAGACCATGTGAGGATGTAGGACTTGACTGTGAAAAGAGGCACAACCAGTTTGATTCAGAAGTGTGTGGGATGTGCTGATGCTAAGTGTAAAGGAGATGATTGGATGATTCGTCACAGTTTACACATGTAGTAGTAAAGAAACATACTGCAGAGGCAACCTTGCAAAGTTTTTTAAGTGAAAGGTTTGGTTGTCTTGGAGTTTCTGGAGTTGGTCTCCCACCTACGTGATGCTGCATTTAAGTTGTTATCTAACTCTAACACAGTGTTGGTTTTGTCTCGGGTTCTAGGCCTGAGCTGATGCGTATGTCCCGCGGGGGCAACTCTGGCCTCCTGAAATGTGGTAAAGGTACGACATATGACGGGGGGATGAGAGAGCCGGCCATCGCCTACTGGCAAGGTTTCATCGAGCCAGGTACAAACAGGAAGTCTTGGGAGAAAAAAATGCTGAAACATGTATTTTCTCTGAGAACATGATATTTTTTTAAGGAGTAACTCATGAGATGGCCAGCACATTAGACATCTTCCCAACTATCGCAAGCCTAGCAGGAGCTAAACTGCCTCCAGTGATGCTGGATGGGTTTGATATGACGGATATCCTCTTCAAGCAAGGAAAGGTAGCTACAGACTTCCTTGTGTTCTTCTGAAACTGGATCAAAGTCCATCTGATTGCAGCATTTTGTCTTCTGTTTGTTGCAGAGTAAAAGGGAAGCAATGATGTTCTACCCAATAGATCCAAATGAGAAGTACGGCCTGTTTGCTGTCAGACTGGGGAAGTTCAAGGCCCACTTCTATACTCAAGGTAGGCCACGCATGAGAACTCACCCAAACAACCTAGTATCTATCAGATTACTGTTTCAAAATAACAAAAGCTAGTTCTGTATATCTGTTTTTCAAGGCCATTACAGACATGTCTATAAGGGATCTTTTTGTTTCAGGTGCTTCCCACAGCGCCAGCACCCCAGACCACGACTGTCCAGGATCTGCGTCCTTCGTAGGCCACGACCCTCCTCTAATGTTCAACCTGGAGGCAGACCCCTCGGAGCGCTACCCTATCTCTCTGAAGGACAGACCTGACGTCCAGGCTGTGTTGGAGCAGATAAGGACAATAAAGGCCCAGTTTGAAGCCACCATGGTTTTTGGCGAGAGTCAAATATCAAAAGGAAGTAACCCGAACCTGGAGCCCTGCTGTAATCCTGATTGTAGCCCCAAACCGAGCTGCTGCCACTGCTGATGAGCGGGGTGTAAAATATTTGTGATGACCACGTGGGGAATCATGCTGCACTGATTAAATTACTTCTCGCTTTTGAACAAATAATCATCTTTATGTACTGAAAAAGAAATGTTGAAAACATTTTCCTCAGTGAGGAAAGTTTACTGTTAATTATGTGTTTGAACTTTTAATCATGTCTGACTGTACTTAAAGTTTCTGTTTAATTTGACTTCAACTGTAATTTACACTTAAGTTTCTTTGTAAAAAGATAAAATCACACAAACCATGATGAAAAATTCAATAAAGAAAAGAAAAGTTTTGGGCATCAATCTTATTTGGAATACCATGGTACCAAGATAGAGGGATAGTGTTTCTTCATCTTGTCGTTCAGCAGTCGCTCTCAGAGGAAGCTACTTTAAAGACATTCCACAACTTTTACACTTTAAAATAATGGTTGTTTTTTTTTTAGTTTTGGCATGCTACCATCTATTATGTTCACTTTGAGAGATGTGATAGTGTTATGGGGTCCCATGTCTGTTTGCTGCACTATACAGAATTTGACCCGCGGTCTGACGCCGAAAGTCGACTGTGTGTTCCTTTACGGCAGTATCACGTAGACCCGCAGTTTGGGGGTGGGGGTGGGGGGGGGATGATAGAGCAAGAGCAAAGACTAGAGTTTATATTGGGGCGGGTTTTCCTCGCTGGAGAGCTCTTCTTGAAAGAACAGCATGTACTACGGATTCTGAGCTGGATGCTGCTAATGGGTAGGTGAGTAATAAGTGAATTTTCTGGGGTTATTGTGTTTGGTCGGGCATACAGTTGTTATACAGTACTGATGAAACTTTATTCAATACTGAAACGCTGCTTGATGTGTTTGTCTGGGCACGCAAGTTGGAAAACACAGTAAACATACCTCTTATGTGCGACAGAGATTTGATTTTACGACAGTGACGTTACCCAGCAGAGGGTGGCAGAGAGCATATATCTGCAAAGTTCAGGAGTGTGTCTTTAATGATCAATAACTGACTCTAAAGTCAAAACAATAAAATCTCATCATAGTTTCACCGTCTATTTCCTATCAGAAGCTAATGCAGGAGATAGGTGTAGGAGACTATTTTCATGTTCAGCCTGCATGAAAACTCAGAGTGATTGATTATAATAATACTTTTTTCAGTAATCCACACCTTTAATTTTTAACTAAGTACGTTGCCTGACTTTTACTACTCAAATTTTGTTTTTTATTTAACTCAGATTGTTTTTTTCACTTTTAAAGTTTCTATACAAAAAGCACACAATAACACAAAAAATGCCATTGCAGATCAAAAAAGACAACAAAAGAGATTTCAGACATCAAGCATATATTTTATTCATAAGACCAAACCCATGACAAGCCAGAGTGATTGTTATTTTTACATTTTTTCTCAATTTTCTCTTTTTACAAGTCCATGTTTTTGGTGATACAAGATAGGATATGTTTGCTTTGTCACGTACTGTTTTGCTCTAGGTATACAGTGAAGAATCATGTTGAAGTAATAAAGTGGAAAGTTGGTTTAACTGTTGTTTCTCAGCGGCTATATAGGACTAGGTCATCCTCCAGGGTTGTTTCTGTGTAGCTGTGTGAAAAGAGACTTTAACAAGATAGAAAAACAGATTCAGAAGCAAATCGCTACAGAACAAGAGACGGGTCACACCGTTAGAACTCGAAGGCAGCTATTATAATGGGCAAGACAATAATTTTTCCAGACGCAGCTGACTCAGTCACCATTTAACAGCTTCGGTCAGTAGGTTGGTGGAAGTGTCACACACTAGTGGCGTCACGTCTCATAAATGTGCCCTAAATGTGCAGCTGAAGCCTGTGGGAAGGTAGTGGAGAGAGATCACCTTGTGTCATCACTTGCTTGAAAAATAAAGTTATTGCAGGTCACATGTTTACGTGTTTTCTATCTTTTCAGGGGTTTCAGTCTGGTTGTAATCTTTTTTTTTGTTCGTTTTTAATTATCGTTCATAGTATTTTCATTAACATACTGAACATAAATGACACAGCACTCTGATTTGCTATTATATACATGACCTACCTGACAGCAACATATATGTAGTTAATACCCTTCTTTCTGCCATGTCAACATTCAGTTAACCGCTGCAGATTTGACCCAGACAGATTTTGAAGTTAACGGCGTCTGAAACGACAATAGTTGGGGGTTGTTTGGCGTCTTTCTCACTTTATTTTAGTGTATAGTGTATTTTCACTATGTTTTTCCTTTTCTGCAAGATAACTTCTTCTGTATCAGTATCAACCCCAGCATAGGTCACCAACAGCAACAAATACACAAGGAAACTGGTTACCATCCATTTTATCTACCATCCTTTTAAAAAATGAGATCAGGTCTGACCTTTGTGCAACTTTAAAACCTCGATATTTCCATAGTGTGGAGGAGCTGATTTCACTGCGATACCAAGATTTTGCTTACTCTTGTTTTTCCTTTTTCCTCGTTGAAATTTCCAAGTCAAAAGAAAATGGAAACTAGCACGTCACTAAAAACCAGCATTAAACAGTCAGAGTTGTGAGGATATGGCTTGTCGGACGACTGTCTTTGACCTAAAAGTCCCACTTTCATAGAGCAGTGTGCACGCTTACCCGTTGCATGTTTTGCTGTTCAAGCTACTTGTGGTAAAAGTCAACAATCAGTGCAACTTTAAGGACGGAACAGAAAGAACACATTTTCTTTTACATTTGTTAACAGTTATCAGATCTAATCCGAAGCGAATTAAAACATCTGCCGAGCTAAGGAAATTAAAAGTTCATTCCAAGTTGTTTTCTCCCCCCTTCTACTTATTTCAACACCAGCCAGGGTGAGACATTTTTCACCATCATCAAAACTAAAATCAGTTCTGCCTCAGCTGCTCCGTCGTCAGACTCAATGAGGCGATGTTCGTCCACTTTCTATACACGTATTTACAACACACACAATGTCTTGTACAGGACACAGGGAAGCATGAATAAAGGGCCGCTCAGTCTGTCTAAATAATTCCAATATCATCGATTGTAAGCAAATTAGCTTTTAGTCAGTATTGAACAAGGAATAAAAGTACCTATTTACAGTTAACGGAAGCCCCAGCCTCCTGATTCCCTTGCAGATTGTTGAGCTGCTTGCCGCTTACTTGGATATGTGTGAGTCTGTGTGCAGTAACCCTACTAGCCATGCATTGGAAAGTGAAACAGCCGTAGTAGGTATAACGTTTTGCATTTCAAAAGAGGGAGCTTGCTCAGCTTTGTAGTTTTATATCATAGAAAAAGATCAAAGAAACAAGCAATCAATCTGTCGAAATCATTAAAAAAACCAGCGACAAACACAATTAGCACGATGACTAGCTCATTGTAGAAATCAGAATCCCTGTTTGAGTAAGAAAAGAAAAGTATTTTACAATGGTGCTGGGGAGAAAAATAAATTAAAAAAACACTGACACCGTCCTCTGGTGGTAAACTTGAGAAATGTAGGCAAGCGATTGAGGAAAAGGGTCGTCATGGTAACTCCTCTTACTCCAGGTAGATGTCCTCGGTTGGACAGGCGTACTCCAGATGTTCCTGGTAGTACTCCTGGAAGGCGCGGCTGCAAAAATAAACAGATGAAAAGAAACATTAAAAGGAAATTCTTTACTTTTGAGTTGCTTTTGGATTCTGAATAAAAATGCATGAATAAATAAATTTTATTTGGAGTCTTTTAGATGATTTTAGGTATTGACAATAAGGGATGTGGCTGTGCCAGATGCATTTCTATATAACAACAGATTTAAATTCTAAGTAAGTATTATTCTAATAATCTGAACGAACCCGACACATTCAGCCACAGGCCGCATGGATTCCTGGGATACAAACACATGGCAAGCAAATCTATTCAGCATTGGATGCTTGGTGATGAAGCCAAAGTAGCTGCAGGGAGAAGAAATCAATGATGCAATCAGTCAGATATCACAATGTTCAGAAGGAACACGAGGGCCAAAAGGCTGGTTTGGTTACCAGTTATTTCTCGGATGGCATCCGCAGAAGGAGATGTTCTTCATCTGGAAGAAGTGGCTACACCTGTCGTACTAGGGATGGAGCAGATCTCAGGTTCAAATCCCTAGAGAGGTAATATTATACTAAAAGGGCAAACTGATTCATTGATTTACTAATCGTTACCTCATCAAGGGTGTCATAGTCGTCCTCCAGGCTCATGATCAGTTTAACTCCTTGCAAGCTGATCTCCAGCTCACACAGGGATGGAGGTCGCACATGCACCGTACGTTTCCTCGATATCGCAATCTAACAGACGGAAACAAAAAAAGTGCATGCTTCACACATGACCTGAGTTCACACCTGAGCCAGGTATGTAGAAGGTGTGGCGTTGTTTTGAATCACTACATTTGCTTTAACATTTTCCCTGCTTCTTACCTTTTGCATTGCGGCACAGAGGATGCCATTGCCTTGGTGATATGGCACCTCTACGGACCCCAAAAACTGAACACTGAACGTCTCGATCCATGCTGGATTCCTTTTTAGGCCTGAGCGGTCAGACAGAACACGTCATTTTTGGAGGGGAGAATTCTCAGGTGAAAGGGACAAAAAGCAGTTTCTCTCCACTCACCCTGCACCTCTTTCAACTGGCTTATGACCTCTTGGGCGTAGAAACCAGGAAAGATCCCTTTCTCTCCTGTCCGCATGTTGTAGCCTCTGTACCAATAATCATCCTCCTCTTCCTCCACAAAGAGAGGATCATCTACATCTAGCTCCAGCTCATCTGCATGTCTGGGAATAAACCTGCAGAAAGCAGCAACATCTTGTTAATAGTGTGCATTTGGATGGCATAAAAGGCATAAAAGCATCCCCATTCTACTGATTCAGAAGGGAAAAGACCTCAAGATGTCAGTTTGAAGCAGTGAATGTCCTAGTATTTTGTGTGTGTGTGTGTGTGTGTGTGTGTGTGTGTGTGTGTGTGTGTGTGTGTTTGCAAGAACATGGTGTTGAGGGTCTGCCCTCATAAGGAAATTACTGTGCAGTGATTTTCTCCTAAGACTGTGCTAAAAATTGCTCTGAACGAGCATATTCCACCATCAGCGCCAGAGATACTTCATTTCCCATGATGCTTGGCACACGGAAGCAATGTGATGACGTCACTACCAAGGCGGAGCACGAACAACAACAACAACCAGCTGAAAGTTATACATTTCAGCTAAAAACGAAACTTAGCGTTCTTTTGCCCAGTATCACTGGCTGTAAGGACACGATCGCTGACTACGGCCCGAATAACGTGTGCACGAGGCCTGGGGGCTGAAGAGTGCGAACACCGAGCCGCTGGAAAAGCAACTCCGAAACCATCAGAACCTGGCTGGAAACGAGCGGAGCTCCAACAAGCTCACGGAGACGCTGTAAGTTATAAAGTCAGCACGAAGCGAAACTTTGCTCTCTTTGTGTCCAGCCAGTTGGAGAAACACTCGTGCGGAGAAACAATGGAGAAATCATCTGACCTGCAACGCGAAAGAACAAAGGGACGCCTTTGGTTCGCTCACGCAAGAGTTTGACTTTATTTTATCTCCTCTCTTATCTTTCCCCTTTCTTATAGTTCACAAACAAGCAATAACACCGCGCTATTGCTTAAAAGTAGCTCCGGTTTTTCTCTTTTTCGTAACCAAATATGTCATACATCTACCGTGAAGTAAGATCTTTTGTTTATTATTTATTTAACCTGGGTTTGTCGGTCAGCTGTGGCCAGGCTGCATCGACTCTGTTTAGATTAAATAATTTACGAGTGACCTTTGTTGTTTTGTTAACTTTTGAAGTGTTTAAGTTCAGTTACACTGTAATTTTTAAGCCACTAAATGCAAGCTAATTCCTTTGTCTGCATCTGAGAGAGTTTTGTCACAGCTTACAGCACATCCCAAGGACACACACTCCCCGCGCACCTGGGAAAACAAAGACCCATTCATACGCCCTTCATTCACACACACACATTTGATTACACACACACACACACACATGGTCTGATTTCATACACACACATCTTCGATTATATCAAATTGTTTTACATTATTAATCCCTGTTTAATTAAATGTTATAAAATTCAGATTTTTGTCTCAAGTGACTTTTTGTGTTGACTGAAAATCTTTGCTCCTAGGATTCCACGGACATTTCAGATAGACTGATAATAATTTTGGATTCATTTCCCTTTCTAATTAGAATGGGTGGTGCCCCGACGATACCTAATTGTATCTTAATTAATTAATACATCCGTAAATATTCCCATATTTACAGAATTTATTGAAGAATCCAAAAGTAAGCAAAAGCTTACAAATTATTCGCTTCCTAATAACCCCAACAATGGGCACAGGTGGTTTCTGATCAGATTATTGTTAGCCACCCAGCAGCTCTCAAGTCTAGCTGGAACCAGAACATCTGCCTTCCTCCCTTATCTAATTAGTGATGCACTACTGCTGCAGGACACACACACACACACACACACACAGAGAGAGAGAGAGAGAGAGAGAGAGAGAGAGAGAGAGAGAGAGAGAGAGAGAGAGAGAGAGAGAGAGAGAGAGAGAGAGAGAGAGAGAGAGAGAGAGAGAGAGAACCCACAATCATTACCTAAACATTAGTAGATTACTCGGCTGTGAATGACACATGATAAAATTTGCACATTTTTACTTAAAGGGCTACTTTGCAACATCTTCATATTTCTTATTATTTTCTTGAGAAATTAGCTAAAATGACTCGCAGGATTAATGATAAATGACCCGGACTTATGACTTCAAAGTTGGCGGGCCGCTCCCTGCTAGTGGAGGGAGCCGTGGATGATTCTTTTGTATATAAATTCATACCAATGTAACAACCTGCAAGAATGGAGGGATGGCCTGTTTACGAGTGAGTACAGATCACAGTTAAATGGTGCCTCCTTCACTACTTGAGACTAAATTAGTCAAATTATTTTTTACAACATGTTTAAAATTATATCAGTTAAAGTGAAGCACAGAGATTAATTAAAGAACTGTTTCCTCCCTAACATTTCAAGAAAATTTGCTTTTCATCTTTTGTATGTTGGTCCTAATTTCAACTGCAGTGCAGTGACATCCTCTCTTAAAGACTAAGGTCACTTGTTTCCCTATAGAATAAATTACTTCCCTGTGGGAAAAAATCTGTTGCGCTCCTGTTTCATAAAGCAGAAGTCAGTCGGAGCAGTGGAGAGCACAACACGGCAAGATTTGGAGTCTCCAATCTCAGTAGTTTACTGTGAGAGTGTCTGTCCTGGGACTGGGAGAATGAGGTTCAAACCCCAGTCGGGTTAACCAAAGACTTAAACAATGGGACCCAATATTTTTCTGCTTGAAACTCAGCTTTAAAGGGTTGGATTGGGGGGTTAAACCACCAAATAGTTCCCGAGCGCAGCCACTGCTGCAGCTCACTGTGATGGGTCAAATGCGAAGATGTAATTTCACCAGTGTGTGAAATGGGACTTTAATCCCGGCTGTCCACTGCATAAAATGGCCGTGAAACGTACTATGCAGCAATTAGCTGCCGTTTTAGTGGATGAGTCCCTTTCCACCAGCAGCTAAGTGTGATGTCGTGGACGCACCCCAGAAGTGAGGGCACGCTATCGTTACGTTTCAAGTCTATTTTTGACGCACAACGCTTCCAAAACACGTCAAACTCCAGTTTAGATCGAGCCAGTCAGGAAGACAAACACGTTCATGAAACTTTCATGAAAAGGTCATGTGCAGTGTGTCATTTTCTGTGAACTTCTGTCACCGATGTAAACAGAACATAAAACAGACATTTCATGTATGCACCTGTCTTTCTCCTTGTTTATTATTGTGTGTGGACGTGTGGAACCACGAGTGGTGTTGCAATTCTCCCGTGATTTCGTGACATCACAGGATCAGCTGTGTGGAACGTTTTCACTCCTGTTTTGCATCAGAAGTGCTCCTGGTTAGGAACGAGCTCGCGGCTGGAATGACGCTATTACGTTACGCGGCTGCTTCCATGGCCAGTGGAGAGTCGGGGTAACTTTACCTGATATTTGGACATCTCGCCTCAGATTGGATAACAGCAACACAACTCTACCGCTGACTCAGTTTGTCTGCGACATTGATATTTTATCTCCACAAAGAACACTAGCCAGAAGGAGTTCTGCCATGTTGTAGAGTTGCTAATGCTAACAGTTAGCTTCTGCTAGTCGAGACGTGCTCTCCTCTCAACAACAGTCTTCCCCGTTGTGAGCCAAGATGAGTGAGTCCATGAATGCTAACTTAAATTGTTATGTAGATTTGACAGCTTTTCTAATGCAGGAAATAGATATAGAAGACCATTTTAACTCCCACCTTCCATGTGAAACTTTATGAAAACAACTAAAGCTAGCACATGTATGCACAATGACGTGAGTAATAGCAACAGTTTACCCCTTAAATGTCCATGTTTAATAAGCGCAATGGGGGTTAACTGATTTTTTTTTTTGCCTTACTTTTTTATAGTTACTTCTGTTAAAATGACAGGGTGATTAAAAGCTCACCTGTAGACTGCCCTGTGTGTCTGGTCCCTCTCCTCTCCGTTGATGGTACAAGAGAACAGCCCGAAGGATTCGGTGCCTACGTGAAAGACCAGTGTTAATGGCATCCTCTTTTTTCTTTGAGGTTCTTATTTTGTTTCACCATTTTTTCAGAAAGTCTTACTGAAAGATGACTGGAATTGTTGGTAAAGAAACTAATCAGTGAGCTCTTATTTATTATACACATCATTTAAAGTCCAAGCATGATTACTGATTAATGATCTTCTGGGGGAATACTTTAACTGTGTATGGCTCCCTGCCAAATTTAGATCACCTTAATTCATTATGCTGACATAGATGTGGTATATCCATAGTGGGGGGCAGTGGAAAGAGAGTTTTAGCTAAAATAATCTCGTACTAAAATTATCTGATACTAAAAGAAACACAGGATGGGTTAGGGTTAGCGTTAGGGTTAGGGCTACTTGCAAGGAAAATTTGCTTACTGGAAGAGCGGGACGTGCTGTTGACAAACACGTTAAGGAACTTCTTAGAAAACGGCAGGTCAGCCTCAGGAGACGAGTCTTCAGAAGAGATGAGTTCCGGTCTAACCTCCCCATCATTATGAATATAGTCCACCTCACCTGTCCTCAAGGCGTCCTCGTCACACGGAGTGGAAAGCTCACTGTCATCGCTCAGAACTGAAGTGCATCTGAAAAAACAAACAGTTCAATCTTTACTGTAACATTAACAAAATGTGTTGAGCTGGATCCTCAATGCTCCGCTGGTTTCTATTTCTGGCATTTTGATAATGTCAGGCTTACCTTCTAAGGCTGACCAGTTCCAGTGTTGTATTCTCATCCACCACTAACGTATACTTCATGGAGTCATAGGCCAGTCCATCATCTTCATTTGGCTGCCTCAGGGCAAAATCTTTCTCACACAGTGGGAGGTCATGGTCAGGTAATGAATGATTGTGCACACTGGAATCCACAGGTGGCGAGCTGTCAAGCTCTAAATCACTACCGTTATAAGACTGCTTCCTCAAGCCGCCCAGGAAAGGATAGGAGTCACCGTCCTCCTCTTCGTCGTCGTTGTCCGTGGAGTACGTGAGGCTAAAGCAGCGGTTGGTCTGAGCAGAGGGTATGTCGAGTGTCAAACTGTGTTTGACCTCTGTGATTCGCTCAAGAGAGGCTGCTGAACGACTGGTTGGCCTGGGATCCGTTTCTCGACCTTCATCTTTGTCGCTGATTACACTTTCACTAAGGCTGGGTGAGTCCAAATCTTTTCTACATGCCAGCATCATCAAGTCATTATTGGGTTCTTCATCCTCCTGTTTTCCAGCATTCTTTGAAGGTTTATATTTTGCGTTCTTGTCACATTCCTTTGTAGGATACACTGGGTTTAAATCTATGCTTTCTCTTTCATTCGTCGCACAGCGTTCTAAAACCAGAGTAGCACTGGTATTAACAGTGGGATTGTTAAAGTAAAGATTGGAACACATCACTGCTTCTTCTTCTTTTGTAGACTCACCATTCCTGCTTCTCGTCCCTGGCTCTGCCCTCTCCTTTCTGTACCCTTCACCCTCGTTATCCTTTTCTTGTGCTCCCCCTGTCTCTTCTTTTTTCTCCTGGGTCTCGCCATTGAAACTGTCTCCCTCCCCGATGTCTGATGATGGTGAAATGGTGTCGGACACAGATGCTTTTCTCTTGAAACACTCCTCAGGGCAGCTGATGGGATACGAGCCCTCTGAGATCATTCTGTTAACTAAGTTGCTAAGAAGCCATGGAGAATCTGAGTTTTCACTCAGGTCATCTTCACTTTCCGATTCCGAGTCTCCCTCACTTGTTTCGTCATATTCATCTGCGTTTGGCATTAGCCTGGGCCCTACTGGCAGGTAGAAGGAGCGCTTAAAGCTCTCTAGACCGTGATCTGGTTCTATCTCAAGCACCATCGGTCTGGACAGGCGATCCTCACAACACTGGGTTGGAGGTAGAGTTTCATCTGGATCAGCCTGGTGCTCACCAGACAGTCCATCCAGATTCAGTAACCCCATCAGAGCTTGACTATCATATTCCTCATAGGTTAAGGCAGGTGAGTCAGCAGGGAATGGTGTAGCAATAGTTGGTGAGGGGAGAGGGGAAGGAGAGGGTACAACAGAACCTTCTTTGATTGGGTCGGGCTGACCCAGAAGCAGTGATGCTTTCAGTCCAACAATTCCACTGTCCTGCTCTAACTCTGTATCTGGGTCCAGTTCCGGGTCTGATGTTGGTGAACTGGCCTCTTCAATAGAGTTGGTGAGGTGAGAGGAACGCCCACTGCTGCTTTCATCACTAGTCAAGTCCAGCTCTGTCTCTGAGATTGAGGAAATCATGTTGGAAACCACAGGACCGCCACAAGCAAACGCTGCCTCCAGCTCCCCTTCAACATCAGAATCTGAACCTGGGGAGCTGAGGTCCTTGTCCTGGTCTGAGGTAACATAACCCTGTTGATTCATATCTGCTATTCCTGGGTCTGAAGATGGAGAGGAGGAATCGTTAGCTGCAGTAACAGTAGCAGATGCTGCTGGTGATTCTGAACTGTTGGACTGGTCAAAAGCTTCTGAGCGGCTTGACGACTGATAGCTGGAGAAGGATGCAGGCTCGAGGGTCTCAATGGGGGGGAATTCCACATATGATGATGGATTTTCTTTACACAGGACTTCGTAGGTCTCCTTACACATAAACTCAACGTCAAAGTCTTTCTCAAGCTCTTCATCAGACAGGGGGGTATCTGCACCATCGTTGGCTCCCATGGGTGCCGTGGATGAAAGACAATGGCTGGTTCCATCTGGGTCGAGATCATTTTCTTGTTCCATACCCGACTCACTTGTGATTGTGTAGGTGTCTGTAAGGCGCCGGTTTGAGTGTTTGTGATTGTGGTCATTGTTGAGGTCATGGTCTACCTCCGTGTCCGAACACTGAGAGTGCTCGTCTATGGATGGTACTCTGCCTGTGTGGACTGAAGGGTCTCCCTTTGGTTCAGTATAACCTGCAGAGTCTTTGTAGGACCTGTGATGACCAAATGAGCCTGTGAACAGAAAGGATTTGGAGAAAGGGTACTGGGCTCAGAAAACTGAAAGCACACGTGTTTAATATCATATAGTGGATTACAGCGAGATGATAATTTGTGATGGATGTAGCGAGTTGAGAGGCAATATTTAGAAGAATTATCACTCAAAGCCTGAAGAGCTTCCCTGAAAATTGTCTAGTTGAAGAGCTCAGTCATCCTACAACTTCAGCGTTCACCCAACACGTCAAAATAATGGGGTCTCACTCTTTTATTTGATAAATATAAAGCATCTTAACTGTTATTTGTCTTGCTTAATACCCACTGAAAATAGCATGTTTAAAGGTGTGGAACACCGAAGAAACATTTTTAAAGATTATTTCTGATTAAAATCTGTCACTCTGAGGTTTTCATGCAGGCTAAACATGAAAATAGTCTCCTACACCTACCTCCTGCATATGGTGAAACTCTAGGATTTGAAAAGCCTGACAAATCTACATCACAGTCACTTAACATTCATGGGCTCAGCCATCTTGACTCGCGACAGGGAAGCAAAGAATGTCTCGACTGATAGAGGCTAACAGCTAGCATTAGCAACTGCACCACACAGCAGAACTCCTTCAGGCTTGTGTTATTTGTGGAGATAAAGCATTAGTGTTGCAAAGCGAACAGAATCAGTGGTAGAGTCACATTACAAGATGTCCAAATGCCAGGAAATAAGATTCCAAATCATGCCGTCTGAAGCTACTGTCTTCTCCAACTGATTTCTGTATTGATTAAATGAGTGTTCCACACATTTAAGACAAATCTACTCGATTTTTCCCAGAATTTAGATACACCACATAATCTAACACTAATGAGAATGGGATGAAATGGAAATTACAGGAGCAGTCGTCCTTGTTACCATATTCTGGTCTCTCTCGCCTGTTGCCCTCCATGTCACAGAGGAGGGGCCTGTGAGGAGACTGGGTGTTCACCCCCTCAACGGCCTGTTTTGGTGGAACACCTTTGCTCTGAGACCCTGGAGCCTGGGAAACTGGAGAAGCTTGGCAGTGGCCTGTCACATGAGTACCATCTTCCAGACATGAGTGGGTTGGAGACAGACACCCTGTGGGTAATATTGATTGTCTTATTTTCTATGTGTTGCCTAGTGTAACGGTTTACCTTGACAAAAAAAAAATATCTGAAAGAACGTTTCTTGTATACTTATTTTACCTAATTAATTAGAGGCTTTGCAGTTAATTAATCTTGATAATTACAAGTGGTTCAAGAAAATTTGTCCCAAAGAAACTTTTTTAAATAAAAAATTATGAGACAGATTCAAAAAATAGACATGGACCTTATTATTGTAAATTCAAGCTCTTTGAAGCTCCAAATAAAATACTTTTAAATAGTATTTGAATTCAGAACAGAAAAGTAATTATATATATATATATATATATATATATATATATATATATATATATATATATATATATATATATATATATATATATATATATACATATTCAAAACAGAAAAAAAATGTGTGTGTGTGGGGGGGGGGGGGGGGGGGGGTTGTATTTGTACACTTGTGAAGACCGGATTTGGGATATTTACTAACCTTCTTACGACCGATGGTCCTTGTTAGGACCAAAACCCGGTCCTAATATGGAGTACTCCCTGGGGTTAAGCTTACAGATAAGTTGTGAATTGAGTTTTTGTTACTGACAACTTTAGGAATACACTGGTTAGGATTAGGGTTAGGATTAGGGTTAGGCATTGTGGACTCACTAAAATGATTGGAAGCCAATGCAGTCCTAACACGGGTACAAATACAAGAATGTGTGTGTGTGTGTGTGTGTGCGTGCGTGCGTGCGTGCGTGCGTGCGTGCGTGCGTGTGTGTGTGTGTGTGTGTGTGTGTGTGTGTGTGTGTGTGTTTGGAAATGTATAGTTAGGTTTTGGTGATCACACCTTGAGACACCGGGTTACGTAAAGAGTCCTGCCAGCTTCCTTTCTTTGGAGACAAGCTGCTGTTGTTGTTCAGCGAATCCTGATATAAGGAGCAAAACATTAGGAACACATTACGTGCCAATTGCAAAAATACAAGATTAGCACCAGACACTCAGTCTGCCTACCTGCGACACAGCAGTAGTGAGGTTCAGTGTAGTGGGCCTGCTCTTCAGAGTGCCAAGAGTGGGAGATGGAGGAGGAGATGCAGAAGGAGACGGGGGTGCACCGGGGTCCACCTCCTCATCTTCATCCACATCTTCATCCTCGTCTTCATCGTCAATCATCTCAAACTCTTGGAAGTCATCCTGGAAGGAGCAGACGGGGTGGTGCATGTCACTCTTCTCCAGGATGAGGGAATCCTTAAAGGACCGGACAGAAGAAAAAACAGGAAAACTACTTATTACCACCTGTTTTAAATTTAGCAACAATTAGCATTTTCACAGACTCTCAGCAGACAAAAGCAACGCTTATGAAAGCCGTTTGTGTTCTGGAAACAAGGGTGAAAACATGCAAGAGAGCAAGTTCATGAAAGTGAGATTAAATTAGAGGAAGCCAGATGGATGGCAGCTGCTTCACTTTTAAAAATTACACAGATACAACAAAAGTCAGAGCTCTGCAGGGGTCGACATCATGTGCATTCACTAATGTGTGCACAGTTCATGGTTTCAAAATGAATCCCATTATCGATTACACTACTTCTCCTCAAAACTTTTAATTCTAAAAAACAATTTTTTTTACTACAACCAACTATGGTTGAAGTATAATTTGTTATTCATCATGTATTAATGCTCCCGTGACAAGACATTTTATTTACAAAAAAAACATACACACAGAGCTCAGATGCTCCTTTTTGAGGAAGTACAATTCAGCCAGAGGAGAAATGGGCTTCCGACTGCAAGATATGGAGTCTTTGTTCCTGATATTTGGACATCTCACATTGGGTTGGCTAGCAGTAACACGACTCTACCACTGACTCCATTTGCTCTGCAACATTAATGCTTTATCGCCACAAAAACACAAGCCTGACGGAGTTCTACTGTGTGGCAGATTTGCTAATGCTAATGGTTAGCTTCTACTAGTCGAGGCGTTCTCTGCTGTTTCCTGGACACTAAGCTAACAACAGCCTTCCCCATCGCGAGTTAAGATGGGTGAGTCTGTGAATGCTAAGTGGCAGTGTGACGTAGATCTCTCAGGCTTTTCTAATGCTAGAGTTCCACTGTCTAATTTCTATATGGAGCTAATGCAGGAGATAGATGTAGGAGACTTTATTCATGTTCACCCTGCATGAAAAACTCAGAGTGACCGATTATAATCAGAAATAATAATTGAAAAATGGTTTTCAACGATCCAAACCTTTAAAGTCTGTCAGACAATAATTTTATTAGGACTTTTGCCAAATAACTTTAGAAATCATGAAATCATATCACATCCAATTTTTTATTTGTTGAGCACTACTGGTGTCACATTGGGTGGAGCTAACCTCTCCATGAGTTTTCCTGTTTGCAGGTGGGCGCGCCCGGAGAGCAGCTGCTGCGAATTCTCTCATCAGCTCGCAGGGGATTAAAGGAGCGGTGTGACAACTCACCAGTGCCGGATGATTACTCACATTGGGTAGTATACACCAGCTCTAGATCTGTTTCTAGTTTTTTTTTTCCTGCATCCTGTTAAAACCTCGTCATCAACTGTCCCGTTCCTCCGTTCTCCCGCCCAGGTACTCTCATCATCTGCCTGTTACCAGCTCGTCAACCTGCACTCTCACCTGCTACTACAAGGAGGCTCCGTATCTCCTGTCCACCCGCCGCGCCGCTTCTCCCTTGGGCCGTCTGCTCTCCTGCGCTCACCTGCCCGCTCAGCTCCTGGAACTGGTGCTCAGCTCCCAGCCTCCTCTCAGCGCTCCACTACCTTACTGGAATCAGTAAGCCTCCATTCTAATCACACCTTCCCCGTCTGCTTTACATTACTCATTCTTGTTCTCTGTCTCAGAACGCTGCCAGAACCGCCCTCCTCCGACGTCTCCCCAGCCTCGTCAAACTTAATAACTAATATATTATTTTCACTCACTTTTGTCCGTGATTCTGCAAGTCGTGGGTCAAAAGGCTCGATCCTAACATGGTGATTTCTGCTTTTCTATCAGCATTGACCGAAACAGTCTAGAGGGGATTAACAGGGCAGCAGGGTTGGTGAGTAATGAGACCAGAGAGGATCAAGCAGCTATCAGCTTTCTGGAAAGTGGAACACTAAATAGTTTAGACATTCAATTGACCACATCTCGAACATGTGAACAATTACATCAGCTCTGAAGACCTCTCCCATACATTTGTGCCTCATCACATCATAATTTCACCTGTAACAACCCCTAAGCAAAAGGCGCAGTTTGACCTGAAACACATGGGTGCAACAACAGCATTTGTGTATAATTTTTACCCCGATCATCTCAGTTCCCTGCTCTCGATTTTAACAATGCCGAGATTGATCTTTTCTCACTTTTACAAGCGCAGCAGTTTCTGTGCCTCTAAGTGCCGCCTGTTTAATGGAGAAATCAAAACTCCCCCTCTCACCCACCCTACCGCAGCACACGCCATTCTGCCGATGCCTGGTGCTTTCAATTTATGCCACAGCAACTAAAACCAACACTCTGTCAACTACCTAGGGAGCTCGTATGAATATGCAAACTTTCACCTTATTACCATTTCTTTTGATGATTTGGCTGTTTAGATGTGGTGAAATGAGGGAAAGAGGTTTTGTTCTGAATGTCAATCAATCAATCAATCAATCAAAGCTTTATTTATAAAGCGCCTTCCGCAACCCTGTCAGGAAGCCCAAAGCGCTGAACATGGTACAGTTGTAAGTAATTATACTGAATAAATCAACAATAAAAGATATTCAAAATACAAATTACAAAATACAAAATGGAAATTAAAGCTGCAAGCAGCGTCGTTCGGCCCTCGCAGCTCCGCGCCGCTCCGGCCTGGCCGACAGCCCGGGGCACCAGGGCACGTCTGGCAGAACAGAAACGTCAACCGCCCCGACACTAGAAACCGCAAATGGCCTCCTAGTCCGCACCTCACCCTTACTCAGCATCCCCTCTGAGCTCACCATTAAATTGAATTGTAAGGGTGCGGCGTTACGCCAGAATTCGCCATGGCATCAAAGCCCTTCCCTTTCTGGAAAGCTATCAGATCTGAATGGTCAATACAGCATCATGAAGACAGTGCATGACCTTGGTGTCTTGTTGACTAAATTAGAGGGGACAAATATGGGCATTTCAGCATAAAAAAATAGACTTCCTGTGGTCAGGGGGCGGGGCTTAGGTGATGTCAGCTGTCCACATTGTCATTTTTTACAGATATGGTCAATGATCACACAGACAAAGTTTGAAAAAGATCTGATCTTGCACATGGGAGTTATTAAGTCAAGTAAAGTAATGGCGAAAGGTCAAAGTTTGAGACTTAGCCACGCCCACACCTTTCAACTTTTGAAAAATGCGACGGTTGAATTTTTTCCCCTACGTCTTAAGAGTATATAGTAGAAGTTTGAAAGTGATTGGTGAAAAGGGCGACGGAGCATCACTCTCCAAACAACGTGTGCGAAAACCACTAAATCGCGTACTTGGACCAAAATGGCTGACTTCCTGTGCGACTTTACGCTTGGCTCCAAGAGACTTTTTTGTAGGTCCTGAGACCCCACATTAGTGTACCAAATTTCGTAATCTTCAGTCAAAGCATGGCTTGGGGCTATTAGTTTAAATGGTCCTAGGGGGCGCTATTTAAGAAAATAGGCCACGCCCACAAATTTCAGCTATGTTTGTCTCTTGGGGGTCAGACAAGGATCACTTACAAGAAGTTTCGTAGCGCTATCACAATAACTGAAGAAATGAGAGGCAAACGTATTTCCATGGCGTGATGGTGATTTTCGCCATGCTGCCAAAGCCCCGCCTTTACTCGAAACCTGCCAGTACTGGATACCAAGTGACCTCAAGTTGTCTACTGCTATTTGCCAGAGATTATTGGTGATTGGGTAAAAGGAGTCCAATAGGAAGCTGTGAAAAAAAGAGTGGCGTGGCGAAAGGTCAAAGTTTGAGGCTTAGCCACGCCCACACCTTTCAACTTTTGAAAAATCCGACGGTTGAATTTTTTCCCCGATGACTTAAGAGCATATGGCAGAAGTTTGAAGGAGATTGGTGAAAAGGACGACGGAGCATCACTCTCCAAACAACGTGTGCGAAAACCACTAAATCGCGTACTTGGACCAAAATGGCCGACTTCCTGTACGACTTTGCACTTGGGTCCAAGAGACTTTTTTGTAGGTCCTGAGACACCACATTAGTGTACCAAATTTCGTAATCCTCAGTCAAAGCATGGCTTGGGGCTGACAGTTTTAATGGTCCTAGGGGGCGCTATTTCAGAAAATAGGCCACGCCCACCGGATGTTCACATCAGTTCTTTTGAGGGGCCGGACTAGGATCACTCACAAGAAGTTTCGTGACGATATTTTTAGAAATGACGAAATGGGAGGCAAACGTAAGGCCACGGCGGTACGCCTGACTTCGCCGCGCCGCCACAGCCCCGCCCTCTGTCGAAAACACCCATAAAGTGACGCCAAGCAACCCCCACTTGTCTTGAGTTAACAGTTACAAATTTGTGGGGATTGAGTGAAATGGGGCCATTTGGGACCTTTCATAGTAAAACTTGACCTTTTTGGTCCTGAGGGGGCGGGGCTTGTGTGATGTCATCATCCGACCATTCATTTTACTTTGTGGGAGGATGACAAATGACCACAGAAAGTTTGGTAACTCTATTCCATTCAATTATGAAGTTATAGCAGTTATAATTTTTTTGGCGAGTAGTCAAACTTCGAGGCCTGGCCCCGCCCCTTCAGCATATACGAAAACTCAGAATCCTTGTCTCATTTTGTTCGGCCATTTCTTCTGAGCAATTTTATACCATTTTTGAGACGATCGTGCGAAAATTGATCGAGCAATCCAATCAGAGACTGACCCTAAAAACGGCAAAAATGGCCAAAAATCGCCATTTCATCCCAAAATGGCCGACTTCCTGTTTGATATTGACCATGCTTGCAAGAGACTTTTCTGTGCGGACTGTTGAGTACTACAAGTGTACCAAATTTCATAACTGTACGATAAACTAAGCTTTATGGAGAGGGGTTTTTTTCACTTTGTAGGGGGCGCTGTTCAGCCATTTTCTTTGCGATTTTTTTGGGACCTTTAAAATATCAAATTTTTCACCAGGCCTGACAATTGTGCAAAATATTGTGAGTTTTGGGGTATGTTAAGGTCCCCAAAAAGCCATTCATTTCGCGCACGGAATAATAAATAATAATAATAATTAAAGCTGCAAGC